GCAGTGAGCCTATTTTGCTGCATTCTTAAGTCTATGTTCTATTTCCACTTGCATGGTGGAAATCTATTACAATGGCAGGTTGCCACACATCTCTTCCCAACTTTGTGGTCGGTAACATCATGTTGGCAACTTGAACTCTGCCATGGGGAAAATTTACACCTCAGAAATTTGGGTGTAAGGGCATGCATTACACCAAGATTTCTCCAAAACTCGTATTACCATTTTTTTTTTATTTTTGTAAGTCTGATAAATCAAAACATGGTATCTAATTTTTAATTTGCATATCCCTGGTTAAAGTGAGATCAGGTGTCTCAGAGGTTCATGCCTAGTAACTTAACGCTACTTTTTTTGCTCTCATAAACAGAAGCTTTTTACTTTTATATTTTCTAATTCATTGTTGTACAGGAAAGCCAATGGGTTTTACATCAGCCACCCCTCTTCCAGTTCTAATAGCTTGGCAGATTATTTTCTTAAGGATTCTAGGTAATCATATAATACACAAATGATGATCAATTTTACTTTTCCACATATATAATTGTTTATTTTGTCTTGTGGCATTGGCTGACTGCAGGTTCACACTGACTACCAGCAGTAATAGCTTATCAGTCTCTTCTTACTTGAATGGGAGCCCATCTGTATTTCCCCATTGTTTATGGTAGATGTCCTTTATCCTTTCTCTAACTAGCTTCTTGGAGGATTTTTTAAAAATCAGAAATGGAAATTCAATGTATCAAATATTTACTTTCACTTTCTAAGTTAGCATTTTGGTGATATTTTAATTTTTACACTTAAAATTTTTACAATTTTACATTGTATTCTTTTCTGTGATCAGAAAGAACATTAAAGTCTTTATGTTGTGTCCTTCCTGTACATGGTATACATTGTAGTCTTGTTTCAGCTCTAAAATCACTGTCCTCCGTGGACAACCATGCTCCAATCAGCACTGAACTTTATACGTGATGGCATTTCAATAAATGGTTAAGAAATGCCATAAATTTAACTCATAACCTTGTAGTCAGTATTCTTAACAACTCGCCTGCCATATCTAACTTGGTTGAAGTGAGTGTTGCAGCATCTTTCCAGCTCCTCCCCCCTTTCCATTACTTCCCACCTCAAAGATATCAATGATAGATTGTTCTATCGACCTGTGACCCCTAGAATATTGATCTTTAGTAGCTGGGCCCTGTTTGGGAACTGGGGGGGGGGCCGACAAGAGTCCTCATCAGTATCTGCATCAAGGCAGGTGCGTGGAGGGGGGAGGATAAGAGGGGAATGGATGGGGGGAGGGTGATTGGTGGGACCACACCTATGGTTCATCTTACAAGGGTACCGGTAAATCTTCCTAAATGTAGAATATAAATGTCTTAACCCAATAACTAAGAAAATGCCATGAAGGCTATATTAACCAGTTTGATGAAAATATTTCAAATTGTATATAAAACCAGCACATTGTACCCCATGACTGCATTAATGTACACAGCTATACTTTAATAAAAATTTTTTTAAAAGGCAGGTGTATGAGGTTTAAAATTGCTACTCATCGTTCTTGACGTGAGAATACTGGAATTGCTGCCTAGAACTTTTTTTTTTTTTTTTTTGTCTTTTTAAGAAGGGGAAAGGGCACAGATATCAGAGTCAAATCCCCATCCATCTAAACAGCTATGTGATCCTGGGCAAGTCATTAACTTCTGTGTCCGTCAAGGATCTCCCTCCCTGCAACAACACTTACCAAAGCCTATAAAACAAGACCCAGAAAGGATCAAAGAGAAACCTCTGCAATCAAATTGAGGGAATTCACACCCCACCTCTGCCATTTACTACCTCGGACAGGTTACTGTCTCTGTATTTCAGCTTGCTCATGTATAAAATGGGGAGAGTAAAAATACTAAGTTGATGAGACAGTTGAGAAAATTAAATGACCGAAGCTTTATTATAAAGCTGAAGCTGATAGTGACGCCCCATAAACATTAGCCATGTTGCTTCTGTTATCACAAGGCTTATGGTGGCGAGAGAGAGCACTTTGTACTGTACTCGGCGGACCCGGTGAGCTGGCGAGGACTAATTTTTTCCCGGATCCACTGCCGGGGAAGGACAGGAACGGAATGGGGAGGTGGGGAACCGGGTGGGGAGATGCGAGGGACAAGAGGTTGAGGGAGACTCCCGGCTGTCCTAGCACCTCCAGGGCGGCAGAGGGCCCTGGTCGCCCCCGCGGGCTGCGGAGGACGCGGAGCTTGTACGGCTGCCTAGCTAGGGGAGGGGCGGACTGTGGGGGGAGGTGAGGGCCGTGGAGGACCCGGAGGCCTGAAGAGGGGCGGGGCGAACGAGGGGCGGGGCGAACGAGGGGCGGGACGGAGCGGACGAGGGGGCCGGGCGAGGGGCGGAGCAGACTAAAGAGGACTGACGTGGGGCGGAGCGGACGAGGGGGCTGGGCGAGGGGCGGGGCGGACTAAGGAGGCCTAACGAGGGCCTTCGCGGACCACCGGTCCTGACAAGGGGCGGTGAGGACGAGAGGACCTGGAGAGAGGCGGGACGGGGCGGACGAGGGGGCCGCCGAGGGGCGGGGCATGCGGGGGTGTGGCTGACGAGGGGCGGGGCGGAGTGAGTGGTGAGGCCCGACAAGGGGCGGAGCGGACGGGAGGTCTAGGAAAGACCGAGCGGGCAGTGCTGCCTGACGAGGGGCGGGGCGAACAGAGAGGCCGGGCGAAGGGCGGGGAGGGTGGCGCGGCTGGGGCGAGTCGAGCTCTTGGCTAGATGAGCGGACGCAGCCCCACGCCCGAGGCCATGCAGGTAGGTGGCCGCCGTCGGCCCCGCTTGAATTTGGATCCCAGAACCTGGCCCGGCGCTCGGGCCCAAGCTTAGTGCTACGCTGGCGTGAGGGCCGCCCGACCCAAAGCGAAACCGAAAACCCTACGGTGGGTGACGTGACCTTTATGAGTTTCCAGAGACTGAGTGGGTGGAGGAGATATAGAGTATACCTTGGGAAACGGGGCTTTGGCTCCGGGTTAGGGACGCGCACGTGATGCAGGCCAGCTCAGAGTTAGGGGCCGGCTTGGGATCTTGGAGTTTGGGAACCGCTAAGGATTTCCTAGCTGAGCAGGGAGATAGGGGTGGGACTTAGGGAGCTCTGATAAGGGGGCCGGCCTGGGTCAGGATCCTTTGGCGGAAGGGCTGCAGCTTCAGCGGAGAGAGAATAGGGCCAGGATTTGGGTCTCTTGGTGGGGAAAGGGGTGGAAGCAGAAGTGTGCGCTTTGGAGCGGTCATTTCTGGAGGCGGGGATGGAGGTTTCCTTAAAGCACAGAGAGGCCAGGAGTCCCAGACCTCGTAGAAGTCTGAGTGTCCCCCTCCCCTAGGTGGCCATGACCGGTAGGGCCCGCAAAGAGGCGGTGCAGGCCGCGGCCCGGGAACTCCTCAAGTTCGTGAACCGGAGTCCCTCTCCTTTCCACGGTAACTGATCAGGTCAAGGGAAGAGGGTGAGGGCTTGGTGTGCCCCACACCAGCATCCATCGCTGTGAAAGGGTCCTTTTCCTACAGCCGTGGCCGAGTGCCGCAGCCGCCTCCTCCAGGCTGGCTTCCATGAACTCAAGGAGACGGAGAGCTGGGATATCAAGCCGGAGAGCAAGGTACTATGGGTGTGGTGGGGGTGCAGAGGCAGGTCCCTAGGTTGGATCTCAAAGTCCTGTGTGCTACCTGGCTAATGCAACTCTCTCCTCTGTCTTCCCTCCCCCTCCACCCCCGTCATCCCAGTACTTCATGACTAGGAACTCCTCTACCATCATTGCTTTTGCTGTGGGGGGCCAGTATGTTCCTGGGAATGGCTTCAGCCTCATTGGAGCCCACACGGACAGCCCCTGCCTCCGGGTAAGAAACTGGGGTTATGCAGGTGTGGGAGGAGGTGCAGGGGGAGTATGGGACAAAAGAGAGCCAGAAAGTATAAATTGGGAGGCTCTATCCTTTGGAGCAGAGGAGATGGTAAATTTATTGTCCCTTCTTCCACACTTGGAGCCTTTCATCAGGCACTTGTGAATCGTCTAAGCCTAATCACTGGGTCTTGTCATTAAGGCTTTTCTGTCTTCTCCTCCATCTTTATGCCTAGGTGAAACGTCGGTCTCGGCGCAGCCAGGTGGGCTTCCAGCAGGTTGGTGTGGAGACCTATGGTGGTGGGATCTGGAGCACCTGGTTTGACCGGGACCTGACCTTGGCTGGACGAGTCATTGTCAAGGTGAAAACGGGGGGCTGAAGGAGGCTCTTGGCCTCCCTGGAAAATTGACTGTCACATTCTTTCAGGAGTCCCCTAGGGAAGATGGGTAGGGGCAATCTGGGTCAGAGAACCACCTGGTTAGTCTGAGTGAAATGAGAACTTTAACCAACCAAGGTTGGGAGGTGCTCTGGCATAACGTAGCTTGGTTGGCCACAGTGCCCTACCTCAGGTCGTCTGGAGCAGCGCCTGGTGCACGTGGAGCGGCCCATTCTGCGCATCCCGCATCTGGCCATCCATCTGCAGCGAAATATCAATGAGAACTTTGGGCCCAACACAGAGATGCACCTGTGAGACTGGGGTGGGGACTGTTGGGGGCTGGGGGGCAGGGGATGATGAGTACTACCAGGTGACAGAGGAGCCCAAGTGGGACCTAGAGATTACTACCTAATAGTGGCTATGGTCAAGTTCTTTCTGTGGGACCCATTAATGTCCAAGGGTCCTCACAGCTCTGCCATTTGGGGAGAGGGCTAAAAATTGAAGGACAAGGGCAATTGCTAATTAGGAATCGCCTGAACTCATGAGTACCCTGCCCTGCTATACCTTTCCTTTTCTCATGTCTCTCCACAGAGTCCCCATTCTTGCCACAGCAGTCCAGGAGGAGCTGGAGAAGGGGACCCCTGAGTCAGGGCCTCTCAGTTCTACAGTAAGAAAGTCCCCTGCTCATAGGGAGAGTGGCGGAGGGAAATAGACCAGTCCCTTGAGAAGAGGAGATGAGAGGAAGAAAGGACCCTCTTCCCAGTGTCCTTTTGCCTTGCAGGACGAGCGGCACCACTCAGTCCTCATGTCCCTGCTCTGTACCCATCTGGGGCTGAGTCCCGAGGACATAGTGGAGATGGAGCTCTGCCTTGCTGACACCCAGCCTGCGGTGAGCAATAGCCATAGGAACTTGTGGGTGGGAGCCCAGCCAGCCCTAGTGTGTCACCTGAAACACTCATCACCTCCACCGATCCCTCAGTTGCTCTCATGCTTGTTCCTCCCAGTAGATACATTCCCCTGTGCTCCTAGGGCAGTGGGTCTCAAAAAGTCAAGTTCCCTACCCTAGATCTGTCTACTAGGATTATCTGGGGTGTGGGGCCTGGGAACCAGCCCTTTACAAATATTCCCCAAGGAGTTTCTTCTATAGATAGGCCCTGTCCGCTTTGATCCACATTGGCTCAGAACCACTGAGGGTGGATATGGCCACCTTTTCTTTGTCACCCAGTTGTTGACAGTATGAGATTGCTAAGTCTTTGGCCAGTCTCTCCTGGTTTCTTCGGTTCACTTCCTCAGCCTTTTCAGTGACTTTCCTATCCCTCAGGAATAGACCTCCATTCTACCTCCCCATCCCTCAGTGCCAGCCCAGCCCTGTCCTCCATTATCTGCTCACTCCCACACAGTAGGATAACAATAGTGCCCTAAGGCAGGGGTCAGGGAGAGGTTGCACAAGCAACCAAGGAGGCTTGCTTGATCTCAGGCCATTGGGAGCAGGACAGCAGGTGAATGGGGGTGGAGGGTTGAAGGTCGGGCTGACTGTCCTGCCTTTCTAGGTCCTGGGTGGTGCCTACGATGAGTTTATCTTTGCTCCTCGGCTGGACAATCTGCACAGCTGCTTCTGTGCCCTGCAGGTGAGGAACTGTGGCACACCCAGGTGGCACACACTGCCAGGAGAGGTGGGGGGGGTGTGAGCTGCCTCAAGCCCCCGCAGGTGTGAGAGTGGGCCACTGGCCACCCACTCGGTCTACTGCTGCTGGGTGGACCACCAAGAGAAGCCTAAATAGTGTGGCCTCAGCATTGCTACCCTTGGCCTCTATTCTTGCATGGGCCACAGACAGAGGTAAGAGATAGGCTGAGAAATTGTTTAGAGTACCACAGTATCACCCTGCTCCTCCCAACCTCTGCCGTAGGGGAAAGGCCTGATCCCACATGTCAGTACCACCAACCTCCCTCTGCTCCCCCCACCCACCCCACTCCAGGTATAAGCCTACCCACCCTTCTCCCTGTTCTTTAGGATTTCAGTGGGACAACTTGTCCCTTCGTCATTTGATACTCCTCACCTTTCCACCCGAGTCAGTTCCTATTCTTTCCCCTTCCCCTTGATGCTTCTGCTTTCTTCCTACCTTTCCTTCCCTATGACCCTATGGCTGGAGACAGGCTTTGGATCATAATTGAGACCAGAGACACACCTGGAACCTGCATCTGCTTCTGCAGCCATCTAGTTGTGTCACCTGGATGGGGTCATGGTCCCCTCCTTGGATCTAAGTCTTCACTGAGGCCGATCAATTTACATGATCTCTGTGATCTTTTGTCTTTCTAGGGTTCTAAATTCTTTTCTATCTTCCACATCCTCCCGCCTTTTGAAGGGAAGGTGTGGGAAAAGAACACCCAAGAATGGTTTCTCCCATCCTAGGTGTAAAGTCCCCCCAGACCCTCTGCCAGGCAGTGCCTAAGAAATGAAGGCCATGATGATGGAAGGCAGTGGGGGGCATGTGCTCTGAGGTGCTGGTGGCTAAGTCATAGAAGGAGGAAGGGTGGGGTTGATGCTTCTGTCTCCCTCTTTGCCCCAGGCCTTGATTGATTCCTGCGCAGCCCCTGCCTCCCTGGCCATGGAACCTCACGTGCGCATGATCACACTCTATGACAATGAAGAGGTACAGGGAGGGGTCTGGGGAGGGTCCCCTCTGTGAAATCTTCTGCATCTAACTTATGCCAGGCACCCACAGTAAGCTAGGGTCTTTGGGGCTCCCCAAGAATGGGGGAATGCTGCCTGGGTGTCCCCTCTGGCTCAGCATATGTATATTGCTTATCTGCTTCTTCCAGGGGGACATCTCCCATATCTCTCTGTTTGCCACATGGTGAGCTCCTTTCTTAAAGATTGGGGCTCTGCCCACATCATCCTTGTAGCCTCAAGACCCAGCACCAGCTACATGCGTATGTGAGGCTGCAGTCTCAGACGCCACAGTGGAGCTTGAACAGATAGATAGATCTTGCTGGGTAATTGCCCAGGTCAGAGTTAGCAGTTCAGGATGGCTGTGTGCCATCCTGAACACATAACTTCCATTTCAGGATTCAGGCCAGCTGTTCAGCTTTGGCCACGATGTCTACACCTAGTTAGTGGGAAGGGAGGAGAAGACAAAGGGAAAGTGGATGCCACACCTTTAAGGGTGTGATCCAAAAGTTCCGTGGGAGGCTGGGAATATCAACTCGCAACTTGGGTTTTCTGTTTTGAAAGATACCATGGAAAGTTAGCAGTCTGGGTCACACATGTAAAAGAAAATTGACCAGTGTGGTGGGGCACTTTTCCTGAACCCCAGGTGTAAGGTTCAGGGAGAAGAAAGGGGAGCAATGCAAGAAACACACCAGTTAAGTGCTACTTCTGCCCCAGCAATGACTGTGAATTGGTTTAAACCAGCCCCCAGCAGGTGTTCAGTGATGGTACTGAGTTGGGCATGTTGCCAAGAATATACCAAATTCCCCTCTCTGTGACTCAGTCGAGTTCTGGGCAATTAGGGAATTTGGCCCCTCTTGCTGGCCTCCTAGCAAGGGTCCCTGAGCCCAGACTCCCAGAGTCAAGTCTCTGCTGTCACCAGGTAGGGTCTGAGAGTGCCCAGGGAGCACAGTCATTACTGACAGAGCTGGTGCTGCGGCGGATCTCAGCCTCATCCCAGCACCTGACGGCCTTCGAGGAAGCCATCCCCAAGTCCTTCATGATCAGTGCAGACATGGCTCATGCTGTGCACCCCAACTACCTGTGAGTTTCCTGTGCAAGACCTGTCTTTACATAGTCGGGGACCCAAGCATAACCCACTTTGAGGGTTGGCCCTGGCCCCAGGCCCATACTTTTCTCAACCACCCTTCCTCATCCTGTCGAGAGATTCACTGGGCACTTCCTTTTGACTGCTCCAGTGCGCAATGTGGTCAGAGTAATGCAATGCCTAACCCAGGTGTATTGAATAGGCTGTATCTATAAACTTATTTCCATCTAGAAGCTGCCTGGAATGCTGTGTTTGGGTTGACTCTGAAGTCCTACTGGGTGGGAAAGAATGCTGTATCCATTAGTGATGTCTGCCATGGGTGGGGTGGTGGGTGTTGACAGGCCTGCTCCCCTTTAAAATCCCTGGTCCTTGTGTGTCTTATAGAGACAAGCATGAGGAGAACCACAGGCCCTTATTCCACAAGGTGAGATGCTCTGTTTCTCCCTGGAGACTTGGAGGCCTACCTGGTTCTGGATCCTGTTCCATTCCCTTTGGACCTTTCACCCTCTCTGCCTCACCCTCAACTCTCCCCAGGGCCCTGTGATCAAGGTGAACAGCAAACAACGTTATGCTTCAAATGCGGTTTCAGAGGCTCTAATCCGAGAGGTGGCCAACAATGTTGGGGTGCCCCTGCAGGTAAGGGTGGGTCCTGCCTAGGAAGGTGTCATTTTTGTTTTTGTTTTTGTTTTTTTTGAGACAGAGTCTCACTTTATTGCCCCAGGTAGAGTGCTATGGCATTATGCATAGCTCACAGCAACCTCAGACTCTTGAGATCAAGTCATTGTCTTGCTTTAGCCTCTAGAGTAGCTGGGACTACAGGTGCCCACCACAACACCCAGCTATTTTTTTTAGAGACAGGGTCCCGCTCTAGCTCAGGCTGGTCTCCAACTTGTGAGCTCAGGTGATCTGAACGCCTCGGCCTCCCAGAGTGCTGGTATTACACGCACAAGCCACTGTGCCTGGCCTCATTTTCCCTCTTGCTTGAGAAATCACCTATCTCGGGCTTTCCCCTCTGCGTGTGTGTGTGAACATCAAGGCTTGTACTTACACAAATCTTGATGGTAAGACCTGCTACATACCTAGGCTGTGTGGTGTAGCCTGTTGCTCCTGGGCCACAAATGTGTACAGCATGTAACTGTGCTGACCACCACCAGCAGTTGTTAACACAATGGAGTGTTTGTATATCTAAACCTATCTACACATAGAAAAGGTATAGTAAACATATAGTGTAAAAGGTAAAAAACAGTACAACTGCAGAGGGCACTGTGGATGGAGCTTGCAGGACTAGAAGCAGCTCTGGGGGAGTCAGTGAGCAGTGAGTGAATGTGAAGGCCTCAGATACTGCTATATGAACACCGTACACTTAGATGCACTAAACAAATTTTTTTTTCTCTCATCTAACCCTAGCTTACTGTAACTTTTTTACTTTATAAACTTTTCTTTTATTCTTAGCTTTTATTTTTTCTTTTTGAGACAGGGCCTCCCTCTGTTGCCCAGGCCAGAGTATAGTGACACCATCATAGCTCACTGCAAACTCAAATTCCCGGGCTCAAGTGATTCTGCTGCCTCAGCCTCATAAGTAGCTGGGACAACAGGCACATGCCACCACACCCAGCTAATTTTTCTATTTTTATAGAGACACAGTCTTGCTTTTGCTCCAGCTGGTGTCAAACTCCCACTACCTGCCCTGGCCTCCAGAAGCACTAGGATTACAGGGGTGAGGCCCCACACCCAGCCGAAACTTTTTGACTCACCTATAACACCCAGTTATATGGCTATACCAAAATATTTTCTTTTTTTATATCCTTAGTTTATAAGCTTCTTTCTATTTTTAATTTTTTTAATCTATTTTTACTTTTACACTTTTTTATTAAAAACTAAGATGCAAACATACACATTAGCCTAGGCCTACACAGGGTCAGGATCATCAGTATCACTGTCTTCCACCTCCACATCTCGTTCCACTGGAAGGTCTTCAGGAGCAGTAATAGGCATGGAGCTGTCACCTCCGGTAACAATGCCTTCTGGAATACTTCCTGAGGGACCTCATTGAGGCTATGTGACAGTTAACTCTTTTTTTTATTAAGTAGAAGAAGTAATTCTAAAATAGCAATAAAAACTGCAATATAGTAAGTACATAAACCAGTAGAGTTATTTATTACCATCAAGTTTGATGTACTGGACATAATTATAGGTGCATACTTTTTATGACTGGCAGTGCAGTAGGTTTATTTACACCGGTATCACCACAAACGCATGAGGACTTTGTTGTACTACAGCACTACGATGGCTATGATGCCACCAGACAATAGGAATTTTTTTCAACTCCATTATAATCTTATGGGACCACTGTCATATATGTGGTCTATTGTTTTGTTTTGTTTTGTTTTGAGACAGAGCCTCAAGCTGTCACCCTGGGTCGAATGCTGTGGCATCAAAGCTCACAGCAACCTCCAACTCCTCGGCTCAAGCGAGTCTCCTGCCTCTGCCTCCCAAGTAGCTGGGACCACAGGCGCCCACCACAACGCCCGGCTATTTTTCGGTGGCAGCCATCATTGTTGTTTGGCAGGCCCAGGCTGGATTCGAACCCGCCACCTTGGGTGTATGTGGCTGGTGCCTTAGCCTCTTGAGCCACAGACTCAGAGCCATGTGGTCTATGGCTGATTGAAACATTATGTGGTGCATGAGTGTGTATTTCTATATTTATCTGTCTGCCTATCTGCCTATCTACATCAGGGTCTAGGGCCCAGAGCGTTTCAGTGACAAACATAGTAGGCAGGTTCTGGTGGAGTCAGGGTAGGACCCTGGCACTCAGACTCCCAGCTCAGGGTACTTTCTGATACACAGACCCCCACCCTGTCCCATGCAGAGCTGAGTTGTTCCACTCTTAAGAGAGCTTTTCTGAGCAGGTGATACTTGAGCTGAGACCTAACCACTGAGAAGGAAGCAGCTATGAGAGCATCTGGGGGAAGAGCATCCCAGCCAGAGGGAACAAGTAGAAAGGGCTGACAGGGCCAGGAATGAGCCTGTCTAACAGAGGAGAGAAAAGCCAGGGGGTAGAGCCAGGGTAAGAGCAGGAGGGGGTAAGGGAGTGAATCATGAACTGTCAAACCTTCCTAGGTCATGATTTTATTCTAAGGCAGTGGGAAAACATTGGGGAATTTTTCTTTAGTAACTTGGGCATAAGCAGGACATGTATATTAAAAAAAATTAGAAAACACAGACTGAAATGAGGAAACAAAATATGGAATCCCCAGAAATTTATATATATTCTGACAGATTTATTGTTATGCATATACTTAACATATACTTTTAAAAAACGAAATCAGATTGGATATACTTTTTGTTGCCTCTTTTTATTCAGTCATCTCTACCTTTCCATTTTAATAAAGTTATATCTCATCTAATGAATAGATCACTTTTAATTTTCCCTAGTTATCTCCAAAATATTCTTTTTTTTTTTTT